AGGAGAAAATCTAGATGATCTTGGATAGGTGATGACTTTTTAGATGCAACAGTAAAGGCAGGATCCATTAAAAAAATTGATGAACGGCTGGGCACAGTGGCTCATGCCTGTAATCTCAGCACTTTGGGAGGCCGAGGCGGGCGGATCACCTGAGGTTGGGAGTTGAAGACCAGCCTGACCAACATGGTGAAACCCTGTCTCTACTAAAAATACAAAATTAGCCGGGCATGGTGGCGCATGCCTGTAATCCCAGCTACTTGGGAAGCTGAGGCAGGAGAATTGCTTGAACCCAGGAGGCAATGTTGCAGTGAGCTGAGATTGCACCATTGCACTCCAGCCTGGGCAACAAGAGAGAAACTCCAGCTAAAAAAAAAAAAAAAAAAGAAAGAAATTGATAAGCTTCATTAATTTTTTTTTTTTTTTTTTTTGGAAACAAGGTCTTGTTCTGTCACCCAGGATGGAGTGCGGCGGCATAGTCACAGCTCAGTGCAGCCTTGACCTCCTGGGCTTAAGCAATCCTTCGACCTCAGCCTCCCAAGTAGCTGGGACCACAGGTGTGCACCACAGTCAGCCAATTTTTGTATTTTTTTGTAGAGATGAAGTCTCTATGTTGCACAGGCTGGTTTTGAACTCCTGGGCTCAAGCAATCCTCCTGCCTTGGCCTCCCAAAGCGCTGGGATTATAGGACTCATGAGCTACCTCACCTGGCCCACTTCATTAAATTATATGAAACTGGACTTCATTAAAATTAAAAAGCTCTGCTTTGTGAAAGACACTGTCAAGAGAATGAGAACACAAGCCACAAACTGGGAGAAAATATTTGCAAAAGGTACATCGGATAAAGAGCTGTTATCCAAAATACACAAAGAACTCTTAAAACTCAACAAAAAGAAATCACCCAAACAAGTTGCCTGTTTTAAAATGGGCAAAAGACTTGAATGGACAGCTCACTAAAGATTTACAGATGGTAAATAAGCATAGGAAAGATACTCTACATCATACGTTATTAGGGAACTGCATATTAAAACAAGATTTCTCTACATACCTACTAGAATGGCCAAAAGCCAGCCGGGCGCAGACGCTCACTCCTGTAATCCCAGTACTTTGGGAGGCCGAAGCAGGTAGATCACTTCAGGTCAGGAGTTTGAGACCAGCCTGGCCATACGGTGAAACGCTGTCTCTTCTAAAAACACAAAAAATCAGCTAGGCGCAGTGGTGTGTGCCTGTATTCCCAGCTATTCGGGAGGCTAAGGGAGAAGAATCGTTTGAACCCAGGAGGCGGAGGTTTCAGTGAGTGGAGATTGTGCCACTGCACTCTAGCCTGGGTGACAGAGCAAGACTCCATCTCAAAAAAAAAAAAAAAAAAAAAAAAAAATTAGCCAGGTGTGGTGGCACGTGCCTGTAGTCCTAGCTACTCAGGAAGCTGAGGCAGGAGAATCGTTTGAACCCGGGCAGTCAAGGTTGCAGTGAGGTGAGATAGTGCCCCTGCACTACAGCCTGGATGACAAAGGACACTCCATCTCAGGAAAAAAAAAATAAAAGAGAATGGGCCAAAGCCCAAACAGTGACAAAACCAAATGCCTCAGAGGATGTGGAGCAACAGAAACCCTCATTAACTGCCAATAGGAATGCAAAATGGTACAGCCACTTTTGAAGACAGTTTGGCAGTTTCTTACAAAACGAAACACTCTTATCACAGGATCCAGGAGTCATACTCCTTGGTATTTATGAGTATTTCTACTCCCAAAGGACTTGAAGACTTATGTTCACACAAAAACCTGTACACAAATGTTTGTAGCAGCTGTGTTCATAACTGCCAAAACTTGGAAGCAACCAAGATGTCCTTCAGTAGGTGAACAGATAATGCACATCTACATAATGGAATACTATTCAGCAGTACTTCTAAAATGAGCTGTCAAGCTCATGATTCTGCCATGAAAAGACTTGGAGGAATCTTAAAGGCACATTACTAAGTGAAAGAAGCCAATCTGAAAAGGCTACATATACGGTATGAATCCAGCTATACAACATTCTGAAAAAGGCAAAACTGTGGAAGCAGTAAAAGATCAATGGTTGCTAAGGGTTGAGGGGAGGGAAGGATGAATAGGTGGAGCAGAGGACTGTTAGGGCAGTGAAACTCTTCTGTATGATACTATAATGGTAGATGCATATCACTGAAAATACATCCAAACCTATAGAACGTACAACCCCAAGAGTGAACCCTAATGTAAACCATGGACTCTGGTGATAGTGACCTGTCATTCACTGTCATTCAATTTAAACAAATGACCACTCTGGTGCCCAGTGTTGGTGACAGGGGAGGCTGTGCATGTGTGGGGATAGGGAGTAAACGAGAACTCTCTGTACACTCTACTCAGTTTTACTGTGAACCTAAAATTGCACTAAACAAATAAAGTCTATTTAAGAAACGGTCACAGCCACTTCAATCATGGTAATAAATATACAGAGACTTGGTCAATGGGTCACAGAGTATTGCATCTGACAAACACAGTTAACTGCATTACAATAAAATATAGGAATAAAAAACTAAAATAATAAAATAAAATATAGGAATAATTGTTTAAAAGATTGAGGCCAGGCGTGGTGGCTCACACCTGTAATCTCAGCACTTTAGGAGGCCAACATGGGTGGATCACCTGAGGTCAGGAGTTCAAGACCAGCCTGACCAACACAGTGAAGCCCTGTCTCTACTAAAGATACAAAAATTAGCCAGGCATGGTGGCACATGCTTGTAATCCCAGCTACTTGGGAGGCTGAGGTGGGAGAATTGCTCGAACCCAGGAGGCGGAGGTTGCAGTGAGCTAAGATTGCACTACTGCACTCCAGCCTGAGTGACAGAGTGAGACTCCATCTCAAAAAAAAAAAAAAAAAAGAAAAAGAAAAAGAAAATATTGAACTCTGGGGGATGCTGGACAGTGAGCAGTGCCACAGGGCTAGAAAAAACCACTCTGCCCTAGAGGACACATGATGATCCAATCCTATCCCAGGGCTCACCACCCTCCCAATCAGTGACCCACATACATGCAGGCCAGTTCCTGCTTAAAGCCTGTGACTTCTTCCTCCCTCCAGGTAAGTTCTCTTCCCTGGGCTCTACCGCCCTCCTGTCATCACCTGTTGTCCCAGGAGTGTTTGTGGAGGTACACTGGTAACACTACCAGCTGCTCAAAGTCTCTAGTTCTCTCAGGAAGCTGAGGGATGTGTGGTTTGGCCAGGGTTCCGGGGGCAGAGAGAAGAAAGGGAGGAGGCTTGGAGATGGAGGCAAGTTTGCTTCCATAGCCATCTCACTGTTGGTTCCAAATCCTGGCTCCTTCACTTGGCCTTCCTCACTAAAGTGCCCCTTCTTTCTTTGGGTGTTTAAAGCACTTGTGAGCAGCAATTCAGGGATGCTCAAACCATTGCTGCCTTGCAGTCATCTGCAGTCACCTGGCCTTAGCTCTGCCTCTCCTGGAACCTTGGGGACATTCTGTATCCTGCATTGCACCCAGCAGAACATTAGGCCCAAGGGAGGCTCGATGAATATATGGTGAGCATAAGTTGTGGTGGAAACCCAGCCCAAGGTGCTAGGGCAGCAGTGTGAAGTGTGGGAAGGGTGCTGGGCAAGCTCATCCAGTTAAGAAAACCCTGGTCCAACTGGGCATCTGGAACAGGAACTGGAGCTCAGCAGCCCTAGGGTGTGGTCTCAGTCTCTACTATTCTCTTGTGCATCAGTTTGCCCCACATCATGGGAACCAAGACACCAGCCATGCCTAACCTCAACTTCCCACGGCTCCCAGGGGAGCAGGGTCTCAACCTCTTCCTTAAGTTCAGTTTGAAAAAAAGGCAGAAAGAATTCAGATCAGTAAGCTTCAGCTCTTCCATAGAGGACACAGACAATCCACCAGGACCACCAGCCTGGGGTGAGGGGTGGCCAGGAGAACAGAATGTATAGGGAAGGGGTGTCCCTATTAGAGGCCTGTGGGACATTTCCACGGGTGGGACTTGGTCACACACACAGAGTAACATCCCTTTAAGTCTTCAAGGTCAAGGTGGTTTGTGGTACCATAAAATGGAAGAGGTGGCCTCATCCCAATTATGTTGACAGTGGTGGTAGAAGGTCTGGCATGGCTGGTGGCCTTGGCCATGGACTTGGAAGGGCTAATCATCAGTGCTGCCTCCAAAGTGGGTGTAGGTGGGTCCATCCTGGGTGCTAAAGGGCAACTGATGGATGGTAAGCATGAGACGGAGCTGAGCACCTAGGATGCTCGTTCTGCCAAGAAAGCCTCACCTTCCTTGATAACAGGAAGATCATGAAAATCAATGTAAACTGAGGTGGTTTTTTTCCCCCAACTGAGTAAGTTTAAACCTTCACTAGAAGCTGCTGATTAAAGACCTCCTAACTACCAGCTTTTGGTACCCCACCCATATCCCTTTGGGACTCAACATGGTACAGGCAGGCCCAGCTCCACATTGTCTGAGGGCTTTTTCCCAGGGGCAGAAAGAGCCAGGGAATGTATGCACCCTGGGATCAACCTGTAACCACTGACTAAAGGCAGTAGGCAAACACCCACAGCTGCCACCCCTCGGGCGAGGTAATTCAGAGGCAACTGCCGTGTGCAGGCCCCTAGAGGCACTCAGCTCCCTACCACAGTCCCAATAGGCTTGACAAGCGTTCACAAGGACTCTCTCCCCTTCCCGCTTCCCGGGATCACCGCCCGCCCCACATAAACCACTCGCACCAATTCTTGGCTCAGGCGCTGCTTCTCAGGTGGCTCTGCCACAGCCACCTGCCACTTGTGATATATACTTTGGTGGAGAAAGTGTGTGCCACCATCTAAAGGAAGCCCCTAAGGAGACAGAGGTGAGGTGGGGATGAGAGATGGAGGCCTCCCAAGAAGCCTCCTTGGGGGATCCTTGACCATGAAGGCTCAGACGCCCAGCTTGGGGGCCATCCAGAGAGGCACACTCATAGGAGCAGGATGCACGCATCAAACTCACAAAGAGAGGGTGAAATCACACAGCCAGTGCTTTTAATTCAAAATGAGAAATACATCATCCAGGCTAGACTGCTCACATTCACCTGACAGCACCTTCTCTCCCTGCAGACGAGGGAAGGCTGTGATGATTTTATCTAGAGCCTGCCTGGTGGGCATGGGCTTGGCATAAAAGGAGCTGCAGAATCCTGCTGCTGATTGACAGATGCATTTCTGAACTCTTTGGGGGCCAGACACTGAGCAGGACCTTGTTGATAATAGTGCCTAAGTGGGCACAAAGCCAGGGGCTGGGGCCTGCCAGCATGCAGGCACAGCTCCTCCACTCTCAGGGGAGTCTGAGGCCCCTTGTGTTTCGATGACTGTGGGTTGAGTGGTTTTTTTGAGTCGGAGTCTCACTCTGTTGCCCAGGCTGGAGTGAAGTGGCACACTCTCAGCTCACTGCAACCTCTGCCTCCCAGGTTCAAGTGAATCTCATGTCTCAGCCTCCTGAGTAGCTGGGATTACAGGTGGGTGCCATACACCCAGCTAATTTTTTTGTATTTTTAGTGGAGACAGGGTTTCACTATGTTGGCCAGGCTGGTCTCGAACTCCCGACCTGAGGTGATCCACCCACCTCAGCCTCCCAAAGTGCTGGGATTACAGGCATGAGCCACCATGCCCGGCCTTGACTGTGGGTTTGGAAGGAGAAGAGTGGGCTGAGTTCCAGTCAGCTCCCTACCCTAGCACTAGGACTGGCAGGGATGGAGGAAGGCGGGGTCAAGGACAAGCGTGGCTGCCCCACTGCAGTGGTCTAAGTTACACAGCAGCTCTAGGCTCAGGATGTTCTGTGGTTCCACTAACCTGAGGATAGGCAGGACCTCCTCCACCCTCTGCCCAGCCCCCTTTCTGCAGGCTTGTGTCGCCTACTTGTCCTGGTATAGCAGTACATCAGAACTGGGAGCAGGCAGTAGATGCCAAGCTTCATCTGGCTGTGTGTCCACCCTCTGCCTGCCCTCAGAAGCACCATCCCAAAGAGGAATCAGCGGGGCCAAGCAGCACTGAGTTCCTTCTCCAGGCCTTGGACAAACTGGTCATTGAGGAAAAGCAGCTGACCATGAGGCAGAAAGCGGGTGAGGATGCCCTCAATGCGGTCAGCCCGAAGCAGGAGGTTGGTACTGGGCGCCAGCAGCCGAAGGTGGTCAAGGAGGAGGCGTGCCAGCAGCCGGAGCGTGCCCTCAGCCAGCAGCAGGTTCTCGTGGGCGTCCAGCACCAGGGCAAAGCCTAATGAGAGCACGCCCAGCCACACCACTGTCCGTGGCTCCTGGAAAGGGTTCTCTGCTGCCAGGCGGAAGGCCCCACGTGGGGCCTCATGCAGCGGCACTTGCTCATCTGAGGACTGCGGCTGCAGGTCCATGGGGGGCCGGCCGGATGCCTGCTGCTGCAGCCGGCACATTGACTCCACCTGCCTGGAGAGAGTGGGCAGGTCAGGATGGCGGGCTCACACACCAACTTTGTCATCCTCATGACCAACCCTGGTGCTGGGAGCTACCATCATCCCCATATCTCAAGTGAGAAAACTGAGGACTAGAGAGACTAAATGATCTGCCCAGGGCCACAGAATCAGGAAGTGTGAGCCTCCAGGTCCTGAACCACTTTATTCCATGTGGCCAAGAGGGCAGGTTTTCAACCCAGCTCCTTGGGCTGAAAAAGGGCACCAGAGGAAGAAGATCCTGCCCTCACCTGCTTCACAGAGGCCTTATCCACATAAAGGAAAGGGATGAGGCAGAAAATAAACGCCATTGCCCAACATGGGCTGTCCAATCTCCACCCTATTCTGCAACCCTCTCCAAGTACGAAAGAAAGACCTTCCTTTGGACCAACAAGGCTTCTTAGACACTCCCTTTGATCTTTCCTGAATTACCTTCCAGTCTGAGCCATGCACAGGCTGGTTTCAAAGGTATGTATTTGGTTTTCTGAGCTACAGGGAGGGGAAGGAGAATGAGAAGAACAAGGGGAAAGCAAGAGTTGGCAGACGGTTGCCCCAGAGTGGTGCCACCCCACCCAGAATGCAGAGGTCCAGGAGGCTCCAGCACCTGCCAGCTCTGGCTGGGTCTGAGAGGGAAGAGCCAAGGCTAGCCACCCTAGTCTGGAACAGTATATTCCAAACTGTGATCTGGATCCCTGGCTTTCTGGAGTCCTCATGTACCATACCCTCTCTCTTCCTTAGAGATTCCTAAAGTAGGGGCTGGACGCAGTGGCTCACACCTGTAATCCCAGCACTTTGGGAGGCCAAGGTGGGTGGATCACGAGGTCAGGAGTTCAGGACCAGCCTGGCCAAAATGGTGTAACCCCATCTCTACAAAAAATACAAAAATTAGCCGGGCGTGGTGGCAGATGTCTGTAATCCCAGCTATTTGGGAGGCTGAGGCAAGAGAGTTGCTTGAACCTGGGAGGCGGAGGTTGCAGTGAGCCCAAACTGCCACCACACTCCAGCCTGGGCGACAGAGCAAGACTCCGTCGCAAAAAAAAAAAAAAAAAAAAAGAGATTCATAAAGTCTACAGGCACACTAAAGGCCCTGTTAAGTACTGCACTGAAAAGCATGTTTAAACTGTTGGCCGGGCGCGGTAGCTCATGCCTGTAATCCCAGCACTTTTGGAGGCCAAGGTGGGCGGATCACGAGGTCAGGAGATCAAGACCATCCTGGCTAACATGGTGAAATCCCATCCCTACTAAAAATACAGAAAATTAGCTGGGCATGGTGGTGGGCACCTGTAGTCCCAGCTACTCGGGACGCTGAAGCAGGAGAATGGCGTAAACCCGGGAGGTGGAGCTTGCAGTGAGCCAAGATCGCGCCACTACACTCCAGCCTGGGCAACAGAGCGAGACTCAGTCAGCCTGGGTGACAGAGCGAGACTCCATCTCAAAAAAAAACAAAAAATAAGGCTGGGCGCGGTGGCTCAAGCCTGTAATCCCAGCACTTTGGGAGGCCGAGACGGGCGGATCACGAGGTCAGGAGATCGAGACCATCCTGGCTAACCCGGTAAAACCCCGTCTCTACTAAAAAAAATACCAAAAAAAAAAAAAAAACTAGCCGGGCGAGGTGGCAGGCGCCTGTAGTCCCAGCTACTTGGGAGGCTGAGGCAGGAGAATGGCGTAAACCCAGGAGGCGGAGCTTGCAGTGAGCTGAGATCTGGCCACTGCACTCCAGCCTGGGCGACAGAGCAAGACTCCGTCTCAAAAAAAAAAAAACAAAAAAAAAAAAACAAAATCTGTACCGTCTGCTTGCCTACTCTCAAACCTTTTTTTTTTTTTTTTTGACACCGAGTTTCACTCTTGTTACCCAGGCTGGAGTGCAATGGCACAATCTTGGCTCACTGCAACCTCTTCCTCCCGGGTTCAAGTGATTCTCCTACCTCAGCCTTCCCAAGTAGCTGAAATTATAGGCATGCGCCACCACGCCCAGCTAATTTTGTATTTTTAGTAGAGATAGGGTTTCTCCATGTTAGGCTGGTCTTGAACTCCTGACCTCAGGTGATCCGCCCACCTCAGCCTCCCAAAGTGCTGGGATTATAGGCATAAGCCACCGCACCCGGCCTACTCTCAAATGTTAGTTCTGCTACTTTCTAGCTGCGTAACCTTGGACAGGTTAAATTCCTTAAACACTCTGTACCTCAGTTTACTCATCTGTAAGGTGGAGATAATAACTATACTTATCTCGAAAGACTATTATGAGGGTTAAATGAGTTAATATACATAAGATATTCAGAATATAAATGCTTAGCACTTACAGGCTGAACAAATGCTAATTATACTAATAATGATGATAACAGAATTATTTATTTAACTGTTTTCACATAACACTTATGAAAAGCTGTGGAAGACTCCCTGGGAAATGCCACTCTAAAACTTCCTCTCTGCTTCTTAGTCCTCCTATTTATCTGCGTCCCCACTCCCTGAGAATACCTATTACAATCAGGCACGTGTTCAATGAAGGCCTGGGGCTGGGCTGTGTGGTTACCTGGCCACAGCTAAAATCTGTTCCTTCCGGAGAAGCCTGTCCCTTTCGGCACCATGCAGCTGTGGGTCATCAGGCGACTTCTCAGCACCGAAGACGCAGGAGTAGAGCACTCGGCAAAGTCCCGTGTCCTCAGTATTCGGGGCCCTCAAGGTGTGAATGAGGAAGGCGTGGACCATGGCTCCAGGGTAGGTGCTACAGTGAAGCCAGAGACCTTGGTAAGGTGAGAGTGAACCCCAGCAGGAGAGGCAACCATAGGAAGGGGCTGACCTGGCAGTGTCTGGGAGTGTATCCAGAGGCTGGTGAGGCTGGACACTTTGAACAACAGCATCTGAACAGTATCACATAACAGAATCCAGTGGTTTAAAAAAAAAAAAAGGCCGGGCGCAGTGGCTCAAGCCTGTAATCCCAGCACTTTGGGAGGCCGAGACGGGAGGATCACAAGGTCAGGAGATCGAGACCATCCTGGCTAACACAGTGAAACCCCGTCTCTACTAAAAAATACAAAAAACTAGCCGGGCGAGGTGGCACGCGCCTGTAGTCCCAGCTACTCGGGAGGCTGAGGCAGGAGAATGGCGTGAACCCGGGAGGTGGAGCTTGCAGTGAGCTGAGATCCGGCCACTGCACTCCAGCCTGGGCGACAGAGCGAGACTCCGTTTCAAAAACAAAAACAAAAAAACACCTCAGACATACACAAGCAGAATAGGCATAAACTGAAAAAACAAACAAACAAAAACCTCAGACAACCCTAAACCTAGTTCTACAAAACAACAGGAATCTCCAAAAGCGTCAAGGTCATGAGGTCATGGAAAACCTGAGAAGCTGCTCCAGACTGAAGGAAACTGAAGAGACCATATAGCTGAATGCAACGTGTGCTCCTGGATCGGGTCCTGAACCGAGAAAAGGGTAATTTGGGCCAGGTGTGGTGACTCACGCCTGTAATTCCAGCATCTTGGGAGGCCTAGGGGGGCGGATCACTTGAGGTCAGGTGTTTGAGACCAGCCTGCCCATCTCTACTAAAAATAAACTAGCCAGGCATGGTGGCGCATGGTTGTAACCCCAGCTACTTAAGAGGCTGAAGCCAGAGAACCGCTTGAACCCGGGAGGGGAGGCTGCAGTGAGCCGAGATCGCACCACTGCACTTCAGCCTGGGCGACAGAGCGAGACTCTGTCTCAAAAAAAGAAAAGAAAAAGAAAAGGATAATTTCCATAAAGGGCATTATTAGGACACTAATAAAAACATTTAAAAACATTTAAATATGGACTATAGGTCAGAAAAAGTCTTGATCAATGTTACCCGATTTTGAATGCAGGCGCTTGTCCTTGTTTTTAGAAAACAAACACGGATGTGCCTCTAAATATGGAGGCAACGGGATTTCATATCTGCAACTAACTCACATGGTCCAGGGAAGAAAAAAGGCACAGAGAAAAACAGAGGAAATCATAAGGTAAATACGGTAAAAGAGGTTACAACTCGTGAATCTCATCAAAGTGCATACAGGAGTTACTTGAAACTGTCTCAAAATAAAAACTAAAAAATAGTAATGGTTATCTGGCTGGCTCAGTGGCCGGCCCGGGAGTTGAAAGATGGCAGGTATACAGTCAGTGGGTATCTGTAACTAAGGCTAAATAGACCGTCAGTTTAAACTGGTCAAAGAGCAGATTCGCAAAGGCACTTCGACAACCGGAGCCCAGCACCCAGGCGCTGACCTCCGCGACCCTCCAGCCACAGGAAGAGCGCGTCATCACTCCGCGCCGCCTCGTCCCCCCTTCTACCGGAGAAATGGTAGCAGTCAAGATAGCTTACGACACTGCCTCCGTAACCCTGCGGCGCAATGCACTTCGGGGGTTGTAGTTTCTTATTCCGGTCAGCCAGGCCTAAATGGGGCACCCCGCCCTGAGTGTGTTGCCCTTGCAGCTCCGGTCCGCTGTCGTCGAGGCGTCGCCTCACCCTTCCTTCCGGGCCCGCGGACTGCCAACAAGCACTCCCTTCGGTGACAGGAGAGCAATGGCGGCTGCGCGGCCTGTGGGCGCCTGCGCACGTCGGTCGCGGGCGCGCGCGCCACCTGACGCCGTCGGGTTGGGCGGAGTGCTCATGTCCAGGGCGGTGATGTGGAAGCCAGGTGCCGGCTGCATCTCCCGATGCTTGGACCCTCGGCATGGGCTGGCCTCGCAGAGGGACAGAAACCCTCTTTCCCCAAGCTGCCGGCAGAAACTATGCTCGTCACTCCCGTTGCGGGCTCGAACCGTTCCCGCTCGAAGCCCTAGACCAGCCGAGCCCCAGGCTGCCGACCCCGGCGACCGCGAGGGGGCGCTGCGACCCGGAGCGCGGAGTCCGTGGAAAAGGCCGGGGCCTGATTGTCCCCCGAGGGAGGGGTGCGTGGCCTGCGGCCTTAGGCTCGGGGGCGGGCGGCGGGTGGACCTAGGCCGAGCCGCACAGCTACGGGCTGCGACTGAGTTCTTACCTGGCCAACATGCGTGAGAATTACTGAGGCATCAGTTCAAATGTACATTCCTGGGCTGTACCCCCAGAAATTATGACTTTGGAGGTAAATATGTATATTTAGGTACATGTGTATTTTGCGCGGATTTTTAATACAAATATGTGTTTTGCGCAGATTCTGAATGTATGGGTTCCTGCAGCGAGTTAATGCTGGCACTCGGTTCGGCGCAGAACGATTCGAACGCTGCTTCCGAACTCTCACTGTCTCTCTGGCAGATCTGTCAATTTCATTGGGCCCCAGTGAAACTTTGTACAGTGTCACCCAGGGTGAACGCTTAGTAGGGCTGATCAGCAAGCCCCCTTCTTGACTGGAGGCCATCAAAACAACAGGGAAGAGGTTTATACCTTAAACCTGAAAGGGGCACTCTGGCAGTAACCTGTAGAGCCTTACAATGGGGTAAAAGCCCCAACTTGGAGGCTTGGCCTATTGGTGTTAGGGGGGCCCCACAAGGCCTGCCTGGGCCTCGCTGCCTGACTTGCATGTTCCTCCAGCCACCACCACCACCACCACCCACTCCCACGGCGACCTTTATCTCTTGGCATGTGAATGGCTTCAGCCTTGTCCCCCAGATGTGCCTCGGAGCCTCCCCCACTGACTGTTCCCCCAGCCTAGAATTCCCTTTCCTGGTTTTTTTTCTTTTTCTTTCTTTCTTTTCTTTTTTCTTTTTTTTTTTTTTGCAGCCTCCCTGCCCCTTCCCACCAGCAGTGCTCCTGCCTCAGCCCACCAAGTAGCTGGGACTACAGGCAGGCAACACACCCAGCTAATTTAAATTTTTTTGTAGAGATAGGGTCTCACTGTATTGCCCAGGCTGGTCTCAAACTCCTAATCCTCCTGCTTCTACCCCACAAAGTGTTAGGATTACAGGCATGAGTCTCAGCGCCTGGCCTTTCCTGTCCTTTTAATTGCCCTTGCAGATATATACTCAGACCAAATGGGAGGAAGGCTTCCTACTCAGGCTGCCCATTGGCATTCAACTGCGGCCTGTGCACCCCTGTGAAGGTCTCACCAATACTGCTGATGGCTTCCATCTTCACTCCCCAGGGCCATGCACAACGCAGGAGTGGAGCCGACTTGAACGTGCTCTTTGCTGACAAGAAAGGAGAACAGGACAGGGTGGCCCAGGCAGGGATCCTAGAGCAGCACCCCCTGAGAAAGTGCACTCTGGGCCCCTTCAGCCATAGGAGCCAGGGTAGGTTAGGAGGTGGCCGAAGGGAAGCTGCAGGTGGCCAGGGCCTGGCCAAAGCCTGTGACAACACATAAATATGTGTGCAGATGTTGCGGCAAGCCCAGAGACTGTGGGGCCTCAGCTACAAAGCTGGGGAGTGATGTTGGCACAGCTCCTGGTCCCCAGTCCTTATCGCTGTCAGCCAGGGCTTGTGTCTGCCAGCTGATTACAGCAGAGAGCTAGCAAGGAGAGGGCTCTGGTTGCTGGGGGCCACCTGGCATCTGGAACACAGTTTCCCAGCCTCTGTCCACTCCTTAGGCAGTGAGTCAACACCAAGTTTCTCACCACTAGAGGGCTGGCCTCGTGAGGTGTGTGGAGGAGACAGCTGTGAGAGGCTGGCTTGAGCTAGTACTCCAGAGGACAATGGGAGACCCAGATGAAGGTGGTAGCATGGAGGGCTTCCTCAGCCTGGTGGGAGTGGGGGTTTCACTTGATGGTTTTGCTGGAGGGTGCTTGTGGGTATGCCCTGGGAGATCCCTTTTCCTTAGCCACTGGGCTCTCCTGGGTCCAACCCATCCTTCTGAGAGTCTGTTCTGGGTACAGTGGGAATGTCTATGCCTGCTAGCTCAGACATCATCTAAAACAGCAAGCCCATCAGTGGCTACTGATGGTGACCACACTGCTCCATGACCCAGCTGCACCACTCTTTTTTTTTTTTTTTTTTTTTTTTTGAGGTAGAGTCTTGCTCATCGCCCAGGCTGGAGTGCAGTGGCGCGCTCTCGGCTCACTGCAAGCTCCGCCTCCCAGGTTCACACCATTCTCCTGTCTCAGCCTCCTGAGTAGCTGGGACTACAGGCGCCCACCACCATGCCCAGCTAATTTTTTGTATTTATAGTAGAGATGGGGTTTCATTGTGTTAGCCAGGATGGTCTCGATCTCCTGACCTCATCATCCACCCACCTCGGGCTCCCAAAGTGCTGGGATTACAGGCATGATCCACCGCACCCGGCCTGAATATTCATAGTATCTTTACTCTTTTTTTTTTTTTTTTTTGAGATGGAGTCTTGCTCTTGTCGCCCAGGTTGTAGTACAGTGGCACGATCTTGGCTCACTGCAACTGCCGCCGCCCGGATTCAAGCGATTCTTCTGCCTTAGCCTCCTGAGTAGCTGGGGTTACAGGTGCCCGCCACCACACCCGGCTAATTTTTGTATTTTCAGTGGAGACGGGGTTTCGCCATGTTGGCCAGGCCGGTCTCGAACTCCTGGCCTCGTGATCTGCCCGCCTTGGCCTCCCAAAGTGCTGGGATTACAGGCATGAGGCACTATGCCCGGCCAGTATCTTTACTCTTAATTGTCCCAAACTGGAAAATACTCAAATATCCATAAGTTATGGAATGATGGATAAATTGTGGTATACTCGTACAGTGGAATAGTATAGGGCAATGGAAAAGAACAACTAATAATACACAACGTGAGTGACTCTCACAGACACAATGTTCGGTGAAAGAAGCCAGTCACAGAAGTGTACATGCCATGTGATTCCATTAACATAAAGGCCCAAATCTAGGCAAGCCATGCTGCACTGTTACAAGTCAGAATGGTGGTTATCCTGGGGTGGCAGTGACTGGAGAGGCATGGAGCTTTAGGAGATGGTCACATTCTGAGTCTTAATCTGGATGGTGATTACATGGGTATATTTTCTTTGTAAGTATTAACCAAGCTGGACACTTAAGATATATGCGCTTTTCTGGGCCGGGCGCGGTGGCTCAAGCCTGTAATCCCAGCACTTTGGGAGGCTGAGATGGGCGGATCACGAGGTCAGGAGATCGAGACCACCCTGGCTAACATGGTGAAACCCCGTCTCTACTAAAAAATACAAAAAATAACCGGGCGAGGTGGCGGGCGCCTGAAGTCCCAGCTACTCGGGAGGCTGAGGCAGGAGAATGGCGTGAACCCGGGAGGCGGAGCCTGCAGTGAGCTGAGATCCGGCCACTGCACTCCAGCCTGGGTGACAGAGCGAGACTCCGTCTCAAAAAAAAAAAAAAAAAAAAAAAAAAAAAGATATATGCGCTTTTCTATATATTAGATTCAATAAAAACTTTAATAATGGCTGTGACAATCCCACTAAAACGGTATTACTTTGAAGTCTGCCTTTAAACTGGAAGATAAGAGTGTGATAGAATCCTTCCCCTGCCCCAAGGCTTGAATTCCGGCAGCGTTGAGGTTTTTAGCATGAGAAGAAATTTAGAACATAGCCTTTCATTTGACAGATAACTAAGTGAGCTCAGAGATGCTCCCTGATGTGGCCAGTGTCACACAGCACAGTGCCAAGTGGAAGGCATCAGGGACATGAGCTTTGGTCCGTGGAGCAGCCACCATGGAAGTAAGAGAGGTTGGGGGAGGACTGTAGGTGCGGGGAGGACTTGAACAAGATTGCAAAGGATGGAGATTGCCTAAAAGCGAGAATGCACCATTCATTCGTGTGCTCATCCACTCATTCTGCTGGGAAAATCCTCTGGGTTCTTAGAGTTCCCATCAGGCTCTGTGCAGACAGATGCAATGGCCGAGGCAGGTAGGAGTCAAGATGACCAACAGATTCAGAAGTGGGGAGGACTCTGGAGCAGCAATCTGGGAAGACTGTGTGGAGGAGGGAGCATCTGAACTGGGCTTTCTAGAGAGGTAGGAATTCAGTAGCTGCAGCTGGCAGGAAAGGCATTCTGGATATAAGGACTAGATCAAAGCAAATACAAAGGGTGAAAAGAAGCCAGCCTTCCTGGACTCAGGGTACCCTGGCCCTCCTTTATTTAGAGGACATGGGTCCAATCAGAAATGCCTCTGCATCCTCCCCAGCCAGTGGGGCAACTGTAGGAGCCACCTAGGTGAGGCCTCAGGAAAGCCATTGTTTTCCAAATAAGGGAGGCAGACTCAGTGCCATTCTCTGACTTCTTGTGGCCCTAGGACCAAAAGCTGTATGCTGAGAACAGTGAGGCAGGAAGGAGCCTCGGCCCCGGAGATGCTGCAGAGTCTACTTGTTGAGTGAGGTGTACAGACATTTGTGTGGTTAAACTGCTCAGTGGGGTTTCTGTCACATGCAACTTAATGCACTCCTAATTGATGCAGCATATGAAGTGGGCAGGGTAGAGCCTGGCACCTAGTTGGCACTCAATACGTCAATAAATGTTGACAACCATTAATCCAGCAGCAGACATGGGAAGGTATCAGAGAGGACTTGATCAGCACCAGAAAAACAGGTGGGGCAGCTCAGAGGGCAGGGGGAACCAGCAGGACATCCTGTGGTTGCCAGACCTCCCCTGAAGACGAAACAGAAGAGTCTGAGTGTGTTGCGGCCATGTGTGCATGTTCATGTGTGTGACACTTTTTTATATTATTTTTTTAGATAGTCTTGCTCTGTCACCCAAGCTGGAGTGCACTGGTGGGATCTTGGCTCACTGCAACCTCTATCTCCCAGGTTCAAGCGATTCTCCTGCCTCAGCCTCCTGAGTAGCTGGGATTACAGGCACCTACCACCACGCCCAGCTAATTTTTATAATTTTAGTACAGACGGGGTTTCACCATGTTGGCCAGGCTGGTCTCGAACTCCTCATCTCAAGTGATCCACCTGCCTTGGCCTCCCAAAGTCCTGGGATTACAGGCATGAGCCACCGTGCCCAGCCGTGTGTGAGGCTTTTACAGGGGTTAGCCCAGGGCTTGTGGCAGAGCTGGGCACCCAGTGGGTGGTGATGTGGGATTGTGTGTTTGTGTGTGACAGAGAAAGTGAAAAGAAATAAAAATAAAGCACTACAAAAAAAAAAAAAAAAGGAGCTTGAAGGCAACAGGTGGCTGGTTTCCCACCTACCTAGAGGGGCCACGCCTCCCTCGTTCTTTCCCTTCCCCTCCCTCTGACTGTGGGGAGAGGTGCCCATTGCCACACCCCCCCAACCCTGCTTTTCTCAGTGGTCCTCCAAGTTAGGGGGTTGCCCACAGCCACTCCCTGCCCCCTCACATTGGCCCCTTTCCCACCTTCCCACCCGCCTGCCTTCCACTTTCTATCCACATAGGGTGGGGCCTGCCCCCACAATAGAGGCAGCCTGGCTTGCCTTTTTATTTGTTTGTTTTTTGAGGCAGGGTCTCTTTCTGACCCCTAGGCTGGAGTGCAATGGTGCAGTCTCGGCTCACTGCAGCCTCAACTTCTTGGACTCAAGCAGTCCTCTTGCCTCAGCCTCCTGAGTAGCTGGGACTACAGTTGCACCCCACCACACCTGGCTGTTATTTAAAAATTTTTTATAGAGACAAGGTCTCACTATGTTACCCAGGCTGGTCTCAAACTCATGACCCCAAGTAATCCTTCAGCCTTGGCCTCCGAAAGTGCTGGGATTACAGGTGTGTGAGCCACCACGCCCAGCCAGGGCTTGCCTTTTGGAGCTCCGCTGGTGCCCAGCTGGAAACTCATTGATGTGAATTTTTTATTTTTTTATTTTTTCAGGATGGAGTCTCGTTATGTTGCCCAAGGTGGAGTGTAGTGGCTATTCACAAACACGATGATAGCGTCCTACGGCTTTGAACACCTAGGCTCAAGCTATCCTCCCACCTCAGTTTCTCCAGTAGCTGGGACTATAGGCACTTACCACCATGCCCAGCCACATTGATTATCTTTACAGAAACTGAGACCTCAAGCTAGACCAGCAACCACCTATTTCTGGATGTGGGGAGAGCAATTAGGTAGAATCTGCTAGTTCCAAGCAGTGGATTTTTTTTTTTTTCTTTTTTTGAGACAGGGTCTTGCTCTGTCACCCAGGCTGCAGTGCAATGGCATGATCTTGGCTCACTGCAACCTCTGCCTCCTGGGCTTCAGCCAACTTTGCACCTCAGCCTTCAGAATAGTTGGGATCACAGGCACATGCCACTACATCTGGCTAATTTTTGTATTTTTTGCAGAGATGGGGTTTCACCATGTTGCTCAGACTGGTCTCAAACTCCTGAGCTAAAGGGATCTGTCCGCCTTGGCCTCCCAAAGTGCTGGGATTATAGGCATAAGTCACTATGCCCAGCCAAAGGTGGATTTCTTAATGCCTCCCTTGTAAGAGTGTTTAGTCATTTCTCAAAGATCAAAGCAGGAAACTAAGAAGAAAAGGGAATATGCTTTTCTGCAGATCAAGGTGGACTGAAATTGGGTGGTTTATAGCTGCCCCAGAATAAAGGAGGCCAAAGTCGGGCAATCTCTGTCCCTTCCTTTACTCTACCTCCCTGGACCCTCTCAGACACGGCAGCACTCTGTGTGGGGAGCCTCCCATTGGGCACTCCTACAGCTCTCCCATCTTCTGTCTCCACCAAACCCCTTCTGCAGCTTCCTAACTGCTACCTGTACTGCTGCATAGGCTGCTGCTTCCTACACACCACAGCTGAGCTTTGCTTATTTTCTTACAGACAGGGTCTTTTTCTTTTTTTTTTTTTTTTCTTTTTTGAGATGGAGTCTCGCTCTGTCGCCCAGGCTGGAGTGCAGTGGCGCAATCTTGGCTCACTGCAAGCTCTGCCTGCCGGGTTCACGCCATTCGCCATTCTCCTGCCTCAGCCTCCCGAGTAGCTGGGACTACAGGTGCCTGCCACCACGCCTGGCTAATTTTTTGTATTTTTAGTAGAGATGGGGTTTCACTGTGTTAGCCAGGATGGTCTCGATCTCCTGACCTCGTGATCCTCCCGCCT